GGGTGGGGGTGTAGAGGTCTAAATTGTGTCGCGGGGGGGGGGTGTTGTGAGAGTGTGGTGTTTTTTTATGTGATAAAACACACAGAGCGAGATACTCAGAGAAGAGATTTTATTGAGGGAGAAGGAGAGTGTTTTATATATAAAAAAATATATATATATATATATATATATATATATATATATATATATATATATTTTTTGCAGTTTTGTTTTGTTTGAAGCAGTTACTTACCACGCATTATTAACATTTTGCAAGTGTTAGATCAACATTTTGTGTTGTTTGAAGCCGGAAAAGTTGCTGCATTGCCTAGATTTTGCAAGAGACCAAATTTGGTTTCATCATCATTCAATTAACTTGCCCACTTTTATCAGGTCTTTCGATGCAGCCAGCCTAACTATCATTTACAGTTTGTACCACGATGGCAGCCGCAGAAATGTAAGTAAGCGTAATTAAGTCAAGTGTTTCTCATTCAACGTCGGACCATTTTCTATTGAATTCAAGATTTCACCAAAAGGAAAAAGAAAGTGTAAACTGTACAAGGCCCGAGACCTCAGTGTTGCTTTCAAAACGTTCCTTGTATCTCATATCTTTTTGTACACAAATATTAATAGCATTCCGTTATGGATCAATAGAAACGTTTCATAAGGTTATTCAGTCACTTCTGAAACAAAAAACAAAGGATTTTGCACCGTAGTAGGGCTGAAACACAATAATGGTCCTAAAAAAGTTTCATATATCTCGCTCAAATGGGATCGCCCTGAACTAAAACTTCGTAATCGCACAATTCTAAGGTTTTCTCCTCCGAATCTGAGCCCTTCAGTCACTCCCATGTTATATCTTTATCCAGTCACTTCTGAGACAAAAACAAAGGATTTTGCACAATCGTAGGGGTGCAGCACAGTTCTCCTTCACGGACAATGAGTTGGTGGGAAATAAAGCGCCAAATTTGCTCACTAGTTTGGCCTCTTCACAGTTTAATAAAAACGAAACATAGTGCTTTGTGCCAAGCAAGATCATTTTAACGAAACGACAATTTACCTCATTGTGGCTCTTATGGATTCATGCAAGGACCAAAAATGATTTTATTGATGACTTTACAACATTACATAATATAACAAATTACTATAAGTTTCGC